GTTGCATCTCTTAGCATTTTCTTTCGCATTTACCATGGGGAGTGCTCTGAGGAATTGTTCGGATTAATCCCAGCCGCCAAATTTCACGAACGCACATCGCGGCAGAACTCCCGATACCATCCACACCATCTGGATGATTGGCGGTCCACCACTGTGCGATTTAGAAGATGTTTTCTTCCTCGCACAACTTCCTTGTGCAATAGTTTACCACCAGCGATTTTTCCGGACCGATACGACCTAGGGACCTTCAAGAAAAGAGCCTACTCCTTTTTAAAAGGCCGGCAACGCTTCTGCAATTCCCCTGGTGTTGCGGTTGTTCATGGGCGGCGGTAGTCACTTACCATCAGGTGAGCCGCATGCTCGTTTGCCCCCTCTCCAATAAAAAAAAAACTAATGGAAAGCCTCGTTTCCAGTAAAAAGGATCTCCAGTTCTATACACTCACCATACGAAACACGAAAAAATTAAGCGTCTATTTTACGCTGATATTCTGTGAGAGTACGGCCGTTTTTCGGTCGAGTCGACTTATTCGTGCAGACATAAACTCCAAAAAAAAAAGAGCAGATAATAAACTAATTTAATACCCAAACATTATTGCCAGCGTCTGTCTTTCCGCCTGGTTACAATCTGAGTGAAAATACTCATGATAAGTCGTTCGCCACAGCCTCATTCGACAGTCAGCCGGGTACGGGCCTCACACTACGAGTACCTTTATAATACAAAGTAAACGTGCGATCGAATGCGAGTTCAAGGCAAGAGTAATTCGGCTTGTCATGCTCCTACTCAAATGGTAACTTGACGACTCCGTGAGGCAGTGACTTAGCAATGACTTGCAGCATAAGATAAAATCTAGGGTTTCAACATCACTTTCCTGAAATTATAGTCAAGTACTGGGTTAAAGTAAGGTAAAACAATATTAATTAATCACCTTTATACACCTTCAGTGACATTTAGTATCGACGTAAGAGATAACTGAGATGGGCAGCAGCATCTTCCTGACAAGAACTTAAATAATAAAAACACTACCACAGTGTCATCCCGCCTGTCAAGCGTGGCAACTATGGCCAATATGCTCCCCATGAGGTAATCATGGGGAGCATATTGGCCATTGGGGATCACCTATTTCTTACAATTGGGACAGACAGTATATAAAGTGTCAACAAATCAAATATATATTTGATTGGTTGACCCTACCGTAATGTAAATACAGCATATTATATTATATTATAATTTTAATTTGCTACTTTTAGTATATTACATCAGCTTAAGGCTGCTGTGATGCGTATGATAACGGACAAACGTAAATTATACACGTAACATATATGTAGAGAAAAACAGATGTTGGTATATCTGTTTTATTTTAACCGACACCGCCATGTATGTCATGATACACAATGACGTACCTATTTATGTATTTTTTCATAGACAACATTTTTACACTATCCGCTTTGTCTCGTCACTAGATGCCGCTGTAACTCGCCAACTTTATATCCTTTTACCGATCGCCATAAAAATTGAAAACATGAAATCTCACGAAAATATATTTAGACATGTATATACCACACAGGCAGGAAAACGTCTGCTAGTGTAACATAGAATACCATTAAAATACTTATTTTGATTATTCAACGCAATAAAACTGTCCCTGTAACTATCTCGTTATAAAACAGAGACGATATAAATTCTCACAGGTAACATTTGTAACTAAAAGCTTCGTATTTATCAGTCGGGATTCGAGCCCGGGACCGCAGGCTAGTCGACATCCGCGATAAGTCCCGACAAACGTTCACGTTCAAGTTTCTGATAACTACATTTAGAGTTGCCTCAGGGCTCCAGGCGAGTTGTATAAAAGCGTTAGTCACATGCCAGGGAACAGTTTTCAAAATTTAAGATATTATGTATTTGTTCTAAGAGTATATTTACATTACGTTGTTATATGTACGTTACGTTGCATCTATCCGTCAAAATATAAAATTCCAATGTCCTTTTACGTTCGCTTTGTCAGGTAGAAATCGCTTAAAGCAATATGACCACCGTTTGTAGTTCATAAGTTTTCCGTAATTGTAACCACTTTGTTTAAATACAATAAAGAGTTATCTATGTTAGACTTATGTTTATCTATCACAGAAATAGAAGGTTGAGAGAAAGAAATATTTATTTTATCAACACACAACATTGAAAAGCATAGAAATTCGTACAAATAACTATTTGGTAATAATGAAGTTGTGTGATATCACAAATGATCCCGCATCAGTGATAAACTGTGGGGTACCACAACACTGGTTTTCGTGGTTTACGAAAGGAGTATAGGAATGTAATAAGTTGCCACATCCGTCTTTCCATCCGCTTACTTTGTGGGCGCCTTCAAGGCAAGAGTGCTATATTCTATATAGGCATTTGTTAAGTCAGTCACTTCACCATCTTAGGCTAAAAATTAAAAAAAAATGTAAATCGTATTTGAAATTACAAAAAAAATGAAATTCTTCGAAAATCGATACCCCGGTATGGTATTTTTAACTACTATGAGCACATTTTAAATTTTTTTCGTATTTTTTTTTTGGATCGGCAATCTTAGCTGCTACTGCTATTATACTTACTGCTATCTACCACAACCGTTATAAATCCCAGAATATATGTAGTTTTTACACAAAAATGAATCAAAATTATTTTTTCTTCTAATATTATAAAATATTTTTACTTTCAGTCCACACACACACAAAAAAGTACTGACACTATTATAGCAAGTTCTTTTAAAAATTGACGCAACTAACCAAGATTCTAAAATGGTATAATACTCTTAGAAAACTAGCCACAAAAAAAAGCCTACTATTTCTAAACAAGAACCGAAATTTAGAACTAGACTATCCACTACGGGTCGCATTTTGGCGTATGATGCTGCAAAAGCACAGGGAAGATCCCCAATTCTTAGATAAAGTTCTATGGTCGGATGAAACTAGACTAAAAACTAGACTATGAATAGAATTCGACCCAGTACTAACTCTGACTGTTCAGCTAAGTGGTCGTCAGAAAAAGATTTATACAAAAAAGAAAACTCAGTAAATTTTATTATTATTTTAATTGAGTCGTCGTTGCAAGCTGCAAGTACTGCCCCTGGGACCAAGTTTACTTTCAAAGAAAAAGTTTTCGATCATTCGTTGTTGATCTTAACTTGGAGTAGAACTAAATGTTGCGGTTCTCGTTGAGGTTCTAAGTTTTTAAGCGCGGAAATGTTTTACAATTTTTATTCTTAGATTTATCATGGATTATGAAACTTGATTTTTTATTGTTATTGTATTCTGGACAATTTTATATAGTGTGCACGAGCCTTAACTAAATATTGTTAATATTATCTATGATTTGTCTAGATAATTATTTCTTATATTTACGCAAATACTACTCATTATGTTCATGTCTTATTAGCATCAAATAAGCCCCTCAGCTCAACTTTAAGCAGTTATTTCGATAGTACAGACAGACACCTTAATTTTATATATATGTACAAATAATAGCTCTTTATTCAAAAGCATTATCAGTAGCAATAACAAGTAATAATTATCTAGGCGGCCAGCTTTTGAAAAATTAACGTCATTTAATACTCGTACAAGACGAAGTGTTCATTTCTCTATAAATCAAAGTAAACAAGGATAAACAAAACTAAATGTTCCATTTCCCCTTGACAAAAGTCCATACAGCGACGTCATAAGATGTGTATTTAATCCAAAAAGCCGAGCGTGATAGTACTACGGGCCTTAATACGACAGCTCGTCAGAAGCGACGCTCATAAATGTACCAGATTTTTTCCCCAGTGTTAAATATCATCTAACAAACGTGACATTATTCATAAATGCAAAAACCGCTGCTTAACAGACGCCTGTGTTCCCCGGGGATCCCTCGGGATTGAACATGCTCGTGTGAGGACGGACGCAAGTGAAGCGTCAAGCGTCTCGAATCATTCGACGTCGACGCGGTATTATTGATGTATAGTCATATGATCTCAAACGGAAACGTTTTGGACGATTGGCTGTCGACGCGTAAGGAATCAAACTCAAACCAGACTGATACAGTAAATATTGCATCTCCTCCCTATTACATATTTAACCCTTAACCACCTAGCGTCGATCACAGTGACTTCAGGCGATATATTTTTTCAAATATTTCCGTTATTACACGGGCCACGCGCCTGTGACTCTATGTACTTTTTCACCGCCCTCTCCAGTTTTTGCCCTGCGCTCGACCAAGCAACACGTGCGCGCAATAAAAAAATACAGGTAAATATATTTCGCATGCGGTCATGGTGACCGACGTTAGGTTGTTAGTTGTTACGTTACTTTTAGTGCTAACATTTTCGTGTTGTTTTTTAGGTTTATCATGTCTGAACGTGATCAAAATATCATTAGATGGTTAGAAGAGTGTGAATTAGATTCCGAGGATGAAAGGGACGTGCCGGAATTACCAAATGAAGACTGCAGTGATGTAGAAGATGTAGGTACCATTAGACCACGTCATTGATGATGAGTGTCATTCAGACTCTGAAATTGATGTTGAAGAGTTAAATGAATATTACGATACAAATGATCTGCCAGTTGATGATGATGTTCCATTGTCAAGATACCGGAACTAATTCGGAAAAAATCGGTTCCGTTGGTCGTCTCAACCTCCAGTTTCGCGATCAAGGACTTTGCAACACAATATCGTTCAGCAAACTCCAAGATTGAAAAGGAACTTCAGAGATGTTTTGAACAGTAATACAACATCATCCGATTTATGGCATTTATTTTTTACTGATGATATGTTAGAAGAAATTGTAAAGCATACTAACGAAAAAATTAGAAAGATAAGACCTAACTATCAAAACCAGACATGTGTTCAAGACCTTGACGTAATTGAGCTGAAGGCTTTTATCGGTATGTTGTAATATACCTCAATTTTCAAAGAGAACCACACACATTACACATGTTGGTACAGCACAGATGGTAAAGGAAGAGAGATTTATCGTTGTATAATGAGCAAGAACAGGTTCGAAACATTGCTGAATTGCCTTCGTTTTGATGATGCGAGCACCAGAGATGAACGCCGTAGCTCTGATAAGGCTGCACTTATATCTCAGCTTTTTGAAAAGCTGATACAAAACTGCAAAGAAGTTTGTTCAATTGGCAGTTACGCTTTTATTGACGAGATGTTGGTGGCTTTCCGTGGGAGGTGCCGCTTCAAAATGTACATGCCGAAAAAGCCCAACAAATATGGATTAAAAATTATGTGCATGACTGATGCCAAAAACGGATACTTTGTGGATGCTTACATATACTTGGGAAAAGACTCAGATAGCCAAGGCTTGCCCATTGAATACCAGACTGAACAAACCCACGCAAGTGGTTTTGCGATTGGTTGCGTCGATTGAAGGAACCCACAGAAATGTAACGACTGATAACTGGTTCACTTCGGTGGAGCTAATGAACATCCTAAAGCAAAAACAGCTGACACTTGTGGGTACCCTTAAAAAAAAGGGAAGTACCTCCTCAATTTCTGCCTAGCCGTCATCGGGACGTTGGCTCTTCGATTTTTTGATTCACGTCAGATGCAACATTGCAATCTTTTGTACCAAAGCAAAACAAATCCGTGCTTGTTCTTTCCAGCATGCATCACTCACCAACCATCGATCCACAAAAGCAAAGCCAGAAATGATTATTTTTTATAATAGCACCAAAGGTGGCGTCGATACATTAGATCAGAAATGTGCCATTTACTCAACTTCTCGACGCACACAGCGCTGGCCAATGGCGGTCTTCTACAGAATGCTGGATGTTTCTGCAGCAAAAGGTGCCCAGACTGAATTTTATTAAACAACTGGCTGAGGACCTTATTACACCCCATTTAGGACGTCGAGCGAACCAGTTTGGATTGCAAAGGGAACTTTAGAACGCTATTCGCCGGGTTCTCAAAATAGATGAAGAACCCAGAACATCTTCGGCAGACAGCTCTGACAAATTAGAAACACGCAAAACTTGTTCAACGTGTGACCCAAAGAAGAAACGTAAAACATTCCATTTGTGTTTTCGGTGCAAAAATCCAATTTGCGTTGAGTGTTCTCAAAAAATGTGTGTACGCTGCCGCGAGAAATTGTGAATGTTATGGTGTTGTAATTTTGTAACGATTGTGATTTAATTGTGCCAATGATAGTTTTATATAAGAGGTTATATATTTAAGTTACTAAAATATTTAAAAACTAAGAAGTCTCATTGATTATTATTGCTTAGAACTCAGCTTAATCGGAAAACCTATAATTTGTTAAAATATTCGTTAGTCAATTTTTATTAATAGTAATAAGAAGTAAGAAGTATTAATTTGAAGAGTTTATTGAAACAATTTGAAATAAAAACAACTGAAATTTTTTTTGTAGTTTCGATTTTTGCCAATTTATGATTTTTTCACCTTTATAATAGTACTTATATGCAAGCGGTCACCATGACCGACGTTAGGTGGAAGTGTTACTAGAATACACGTTAGGTGGCTAAGGGTTAAAGTTAATTCAAACATTTGGTGTCACAAGTTTTTTTTATCTTTATTTTAGGAGCTCAATGAAAATACGACTACGCCGCGCTGTTAGTCATCTAGAACTAAATAACGTACCAAAATGAAAACAAATCTACAGAGTGCACCATCTAACATTTGGAATTGGATTTATAGGTTATTTTGAGTTTGGAAAATTTGATGACATTTCCGATGTAACAGAAAGTTAGTTTTATGTACATATATACAATAATCTATGATTTTATGCTTGACATTTATGAAATGGGTCGCTTTTCGCTTGAACAAAGTTGGGAAATATTAAAAACTTATTTCCAAAGTGGTGAGTCTTCTACTCAAACTGTAAGAAATTTACGACAAAAATTTGACAAAAAGGATGTGCCAAAAACGAGTTCGTGAAACTGGATCGTTGTTGGCTAAAACAACCCATGTATACTCGTCCAGTGCGCTTAAACCGAAAACATACTGGTCAGTGTGCGTGAACAACCATCAACATCAACTCGTCATCGTTCTCAAGAATTGAACATTTCACGAATTTCACGAACAAATAAGAAGAATTTTGCATGAAGATCTCGGTACGAATGCGTACAAAGTTCAAGTAGTGCAAGAGCTGAAGCCGCATGACCATCCGATGTGTTTTCGGTTTGCTCAAAGGGATCGCTTGATCGAAGATGAGTATTTTTACCGAAAAATCATCTTTTCAGATGAAGCTCATTTCCACCTCGGAGGATACGTCAATAAAGGTCGTATCTGGGCCTCAGAAAATCCACAAGTCATCGTGGAGAAACCGCTGCATCCACAATAAGTGACTGTCTGGCGCGGATTTTAGTCTGGCGGCATTATTGGGCCATTTTTCTTCAAAAATGAGCTAGTAAACGCCGTTACAGTGAATGGACCGCACTTTGAAAAATATTCATTAGTTTTTTTTTATAGTCGATTCAAATTCCAAATCTTAAATGGCGCACCTCTTATCTAGTGGGCTGATCTGAGGAGAATATTATGCCATAAAATTTAACCCATAATTTTTTTCATCGCTGTTGAATAAAATAGCGTTATACTCTGAGTAAAAATCTTTTTGCACTTAGCTATTAAAAGGGCAGCATTGCGGGCACACTCTATCAAGACAAGCATTAAGTCGTCGAGAACACCGTATAGTGGCGTCAAAAGTTGTTAATTAATTCGGCATTACGGGTAGGTGGTATTAGAAATTATAATAACTAATCACACAATAATACAAAATGATGAGGTTATAATAGAATGTAATTATAATAATAGTTTGTGATTATTATGTTACCTTCTTTTTTCTGGAATAAGGGTGACAAAGGAGCACTCAATCCACCTAATAGTAAGTAGATGTTGTGACCCATGCACATCTACATTTATCCTCGATTAAGAATCAAAACGCAGTAGCGTTATCATCCCGAAGGACTAAGATTGAATGCCTCGTTTCGTTCGAAACACAGCAGCATTAAGTTGCTATTTTTTATTCTGTGAGAGCGTGATCCTTCTCTGGTCGAACCAACCCATTCGTGCTTCAACTGCTGCTGCAGGATGGCTTAAACTACCTAAGACGTGTGACTACACTACTTCTATTACAAAAATATCTACACAAATTATATTTGTTTCTCTAGCATTACATCTTCAAATTAGGAATTTGTATACTCCTTTGCGAACAGATAGATGCATATCTTCTTTTTTTTATAGAAATATGCGTGACAAAGAAGGACACAGTTTATTTGATAGTAAGCCTATATCCATATAAATCAATCATGAATTAAGGACCAATATTCGGATGCGTCGACTGCGTGGTTATCAACTTACTGTAGAACAATAACTTAAGTTCTTAGACAGTAAATACTAAAAAGATTTTGGAAGCCTATTTTCGTTATTGTATTTACTAGATACTTTATCTTTTGTTTGTGTATCTAATACCAATCTTTCAGGAACGCAAGCCGGGTCCATTGAAGCTTTGAGCTTGCTTTGCCAATTTATCTCTTATACATACACAACATAAGACGAATAGTGGTGTAGGAACGCGAAATCGTATCACGGCGGTGACTACTAGTGCAATTTATTTTCAATAACGCCTCTGAAGGTATTTGCAGGAAAAATTTGCTGAAAATCTCTATTATTTGAGACCGTTCTAAAACGTGGGTAATGCTTGCTCGAAAATTGCATCAAAGATGGAGTTATAGTAGGTGGCTCGGATTGGAAGTTACTCCAAGAGGGAAATAGGAACATTCTATATACAAATAAATAAAATTTAAGTGTCTATTTGTAATGTCAAAATAACAGATTTTAACTAAATGTATATGAAAGTATATACGATACTTATTAAAAAAAATACTATAAAATTTTTGTCTATCTATTTGTCTGTCTGTTTGTTCCGGTTAATCTCCGAAAGTGCTAAACCGATTTTGACGAGAGTCTCACTGGCAGATAGCTAATGTTATAAGGAATTTTATCATTGTTTTAGAAAAAGATTTAGGGTTCCACGCAAAAAAAAAACATGTAAATGTGAACAAAATCCCTTCCATGTCTTTTTCCGAACTATTGACAGAAGTAAAAAAAATATTTTCAGTGGTTATTATTAAATTATTACGGCCTATCAAAAGTCTACAGCTGACCACAGGCCTCCCCCATAGATCGGCTCATAGGGGGGATATTTGCCATAGTTGCCACGCTTATTCAACATATCAGAAAAATGTTCTGCTTAACTCCTGGTTCAGCTTACCTCTGTCACATCTCACGACATCTACGGAATGACACAGGTTAGTGGATATTCTTAAACCGCCACTACACGGTTAACTTTATTATTAATAGATTGGTATTCCTTATATTTAACTTTTATTTTAGTTGCTTTTTTAGACCTTTTAATGACGTGTCTTTCTATTGGCCCCTGTTGCACATGGATGCAAGCAACTCCAAACATAGAAGATTGCAAATGCGGTGTCACCCCTGAGGAGTAAAATGATGTACACATACCCTAAAGAGAAATACCTACATTTATTTCAATCACAGAAAATAGTAAATGCTTAAAAATACAAACTATTTCTAAGAGCGAAGTTAATGCTCTAAAATAAATGATATTCAATTTCTAACAGAACGTCATAAAGCTTTGCCAATAATTTGGAAGTATTCGAATATTTTCAACAATTATTGCGATAAAAGCACTCGCGGGACTTGCAGAATTTAATAAAAATAACTAATAGCGTACACAAAGATGGCGACGATTTTCAATTTGATTTAAGCACGAAACATTTTATAATTATTAATTTTCAGTCACATTGCTTGCAAGACGACAATTTTCTTGGTATTTTTCTTATTTAGTTTTTAATAAACCAGTTTTCAATTCCGTATTTGAATCAACCTGTGCTCTGGATGTACGTACTAGGTTACTAATTTATCGAATATTAATTACGTTTTTTGTACACTTCTTTAAATTATTAGTCCTAGAATGACAATAACTGTACTCTCCCCCCCTTTTTTTATCATATTTATTCCAGTAATTATGAATGTAAATAATTATCTGAGGGGATAATTTTTTAACTCAAGTAAATTCTTTATTAATGCCTCCTCGTGAACGCATGAACTTGTCACATAACAAACAAAGGTTGTTACCAATCTTTAAAGCACTCTATGGAGGTTCGAATACGTAGAAAGAATGAATGAGGAAGCGTAACCAACTAAATTTATGCAACAGAAGTCAGTGGTGGAGTCATTACGAGACTTTTGAGATGGAATTTTATCGACTAAATTGGCGACATATTGAAGACGGGCCAAATCAAGAGTACGTTTAACGAACATGTATGTAAACCGATATGTACGTGAAAGAAGCCAGAGTAGTGTGCCAGGATCGTGCCAATTAAAAGT